TCGGCGGCGGTGTGGGGGGCCGGCAGGGGCTCACGCTCTCCCTGCCCCCCAGAACCTGAGCACCAGCGAGGGCCCCAACTACCTGACGGCCTGTGCGGCCCCCTCCAGCCTGCCCCAGCGCCACTTCTGCGCCGTCTGCGGCCTCCCCTCCCACTACACCTGCGTCAGCTGTGGGGCGCGCTACTGCTGCGTGCGCTGCCTGGGCACCCACCAGGAGACCCGGTGAGCCCCCCCCAGAAACTGCCAGCCCCCCCAGGCACCCCGGGAACTCCCCCCCCCCCCAGAGACCAGGGGGAGACCCCCACCATCCATAGGGACCCCCCCCGCCAGCCCCTGGGACCAGGGGGAGCCCCCCGCACCCCCCGGGAAACTCCCAGCCGCCCTCAGAGAACAGGGGAGATCTCCTGGTACCCTCAGTGGAGCCCCCCACCCTCCCAGGGACCCAGAGGAGACCCCCGCCATTCCCAGGTACCTCCCAGGGGAGATCCCTGTTGCTCCCCAGGAACTCCCTAGGAGACCAGGGGAGGCGCCCCCTCCCCCCCCCCAGCCACCTCTCAGGGGAAGACACACACACACACCAGGAGACCAGGTGAGTATTCAGGGAGGCACCTGGGCAGGGGAGGGGGATGCGGGGCAGTGCAGTCACTGGGAGAGTTTTTGGGGGGCTCTCTGTTAATGCTACTTCTCGCCCCAGCCCCTCTGGTCTCTCTGCTGCCAGGGGGCTGTGGGGCAGTGCTCCCCCCTACCCCAGGGGTACCTCAGCCGACACCCCCATCTCACATACACTCCCCCCTCCCCCCCAATCTCTCTCTCTCCTTGCAGGTGCCTGAAGTGGACGGTTTAGCTCTGCCTGGGATCCTGGATCTTCACCCCAAGCCTGGGGGCCCCCGATCCTGATGTTCTGGGGAGCCCTGGACCTGCCTGTCAATAAATATTCCATCCCCTAGACCCTATGCGTTCCCTTTGGGCCCACCGGCATGGGCGGGAGCTCCAGCCCCATAGGGTATTCGGGGGGGAGGGCTAGATCCAAGTGGAAGGGCACAGATACATCATCCCCTCTAGAACTCTGTGACACGGAGGGAGGGGAAACTGAGGCACACAGCAAGGGGCTGGGCAAGGATCCCATACAGCAAGGAGAGGCCCTGCGCAGGCCGCCAGGACGCCTGGGTTCTTCTCCCAGCTGGGTAATTTCTTCCCCCCCGGGCCTAGCTGTACCCGCAGGTGCTGGGTGAGGGTGGATGGAAGGGAGTAGGGCCTAGGGGTTAGAGCACAGGAGGGGCTGGAAGTTCCCCTCCACACACCTCCTGCTCTAATGCCTGGACCCCATGTCCCTCCCAGAGCCGGGGAGAGAACCCAGGAGTCCTGGCTCCCAATCCCGCACCAGCCCCCATTCCCCTTCCGGAGCCAGCGAGAGAACCCAGGAGTCCTGGCTTCCAGCCACCCTGCTCTAACCCACCAGCCCCCGCTCTCCTTCCAGAGCTGGGGAGAGAACTCAGGAGTCCTGGCTCCCCGCCCCCGCTCTAACCCAGCAGCCAAAAAAATAAAAACAGTTTTGTGTGGACGGGAAGGTTTTTTTTGTGTTGCTGGGCGGAACAAAGCCCCCGGGAACTCCTCCCCCGCGGTGCCAACTCTCACCTAGGGTTCTGCAAGCGGCCCAGCAGAACGGAGCTGCTTCGGCTGCGGTGCTTCGCCGGGTCGTTTGCACTGTCTGGAGACAAGCCCTCGGGTTCTGCTCACAGCCACAGAGGGGGTTGGGGGCCCCCCCAACGGCCTTTTTATGGGAAATGAAACATTGGCCGAAAATCATTCACTGGCTCTGTTCGCACACAGGGAAACAAACCTCATAGACACACACGGAGCAGAGCCCGTCCCCTCCAGCAGGGGGCAGCAGGGACACACACACACACCCCCACCCTGATCCCAACTGCCCTGACCTGTGGATGGGCAGATGATAATCACAGGGAAATGTGGCAGACAGCAGGGGAGTGACCCAGGCACCTTGGCAGTAGTTCAGGAAGCACGGACGGTCTTGCTCAAGGAGTTGATTGACCTGTGCTGTCTGTGGGGGCGCCATTCGGGGGTTTGGTATGTTAGGTCTGCTCACAGCACATGCCGTAGCCCCAGACAGGCTTGAGTGTGGCATGTTGCCTGATTTAGGAGGTTAATAATATTAATTGGGACAGTCTGGGTTTGAGGTTCGCCAAGCTGTTTGACCAGAAGATAAAAGTTCTTGTCCCGAATCAGGCTCTCCAGAATTTCCAAAGGCCCCTTGGGGGGATGCAAGGAAGCTCCCACTGAGACAGAGCCTTCCAGACTTGTTATTAAAATCAACGAAGTAGTAATTAAATGGGAAAATAATCAGTTACACAGTTCCCGTTGGATTCCTGCTATTCAAAATACATGATGATGGAATTAGACGCTACAAAGTTCTGGCTAATAGACTCACACCCTTCCCTGATAGCCCGGTGGGGAGAGACAGGACCAGCCTCGCATCTGCCGGTTCAGCGTCCTTGATTCTTGAGTGAGAGGGACAGAGAGGAGCTGGAGCTAAGAGCGATCAGAGCAAACTTTGAGTTTACTTTACTCCCTTCAACTTAAAATGAAAACCTAATACACAAAACTAAGGAGAAACACTCAGGGAACCCAAGCTTAGCCTCGTCCCCTTGGCACGTAGAAAGGTGAAGAAAAACAAAGTACCGCCTATTAGTCGTCTGGTCTAGTCTCTTAGCGAGGTGGGTCACCACGTTTATAAGGCACAGGGGCCGGAAATCCTTCCTCCTCTGCCCAAACCTCATCCCTCACCCACAAAAACAGTAGGGTCGGCTTACTCCATAGGTTGGTGTGTTTGTACCTATTGGTGACGTGTACAGACATATTAATGACATTCGATCATACACACTGGGACGGGTTGGATCACAGAAACCCTCTTGGGAGCTGCCAACGGATGTGCCCGGACTACTTCTGCCCCTGCTTTCCTGCCAGCTCGGGACTTCAGTACCCTGCCCGGTTTGAGCCAGACCCGCTAGCCTGCCGCAAACCCAGACCCAGGTCTGAACCAGGTCCCCTAACAGCTGTAGGCTTAATTGAAAGCAGCTCACAGAAGTGTTCCTGTCTTTAACACTCAGACGCCCAACTCCCAGTGGGGTCCAAACCCCAAATAAATCCATTTTACCCTGTATAAAGCTTATGCAGGGTAAACTTCTAAATTGTTCACCCTCTATACCACTGATAGAGAGATATGCCCAGCTGTTTGCCCCTCCAGGTATTAACACATCCTCTGAGTTAATAAGTAAAAAGTGATTTTGTTAAATACAGAAAGTAGGATTTAAGTGGTTCCAAGTAATAGCAGGCAGAACAAAGTGAATTACCAAGCAAAATAAAACAAAACACGCAAATCTACGTCTAATCAAACTGAATACAGATAATCTCACCCTCAGAGATGCTTCAGTAAGTTTTTTCCTCAGACTGGACACCTTCCTAGTCTGGGCACAATCCTTTCCCCTGGTACAGCCCCTGGTACAGCTCAGGTGATAGCTAGGGGATTCTTCATGATGGCTCCTCTCTCCCCCTTTGTTCTGTTCCACCCCTTTATATATCTTTTGCATAAGGCAGGAACCCTTTGTCCCCCTGGGTTCTCACCCCCCTTCTCACTGGAAAAGCACCGGGTTAAAGATGGATTCCAGTTCAGGTGACATGATCACGTGTCACTGCAAGACTTCATTGCCCACTTGCCAGCACACACATATACAGGAAGACTTACCAGGTAAACACAGCCATCTGCAGACAATGGTCCTGGTTAATGGGAGTCATCAAGATTCCAAACCACCATTAATTGCCCACACTTTGCATAATGACAATAGGTCCTCAGAGTTATATTTCATATTTCTAGGTTCAGATACAAGAGTGATACATTTATACAAATAGGATGACCACACGCAGTAGATTATAAGCTTTGTAATGATACCTTACAAGAGACCTTTTGCATGAAGCATATCCCAGTTACATCATATTCACCCATTAGCGTATTTTTATAAAATCATATGGAGTGCAACGTCTCACACACACACATCTGTTATTTTGGTTTTCCGGTTCTTCCCTGGTGGTACCTGTTAAGTTTGTGGGTGCAAACTTGAAAACCCTCTATGCCATTCTCCCGTTATCTATCTCTCTAGGCGGAAGGTCCCAGACATAGATGCGCTAAATTTCTTACCTCAATATCCCGGATCTGGCCTGTAGGTCCCTTGCGTTACAGCCAAACTTACTGTAAGTGTTTGGTTTATTGTAATAGGTTTATCGATTTATATTAAACTATAAGAGATATCTGTGCAAGCAAACAGGGTAATCCTATAGGCTACAGTGATAAGTCCTGTGTTGCTGCCAGCTTCCACCCCCAAGGGGCAGGGAGTTTGTTTATAACCAGAGGCAGGGTGATTAAGATCACAAGGCTTGTCATTAAATTAAATTAAGGATCGTTAGATGATCCTGAAGGCTCTGCCAGGCACTCCAGTTAAAATATAGGAAACAGGGTAGGAATAAACGGTTGGTTTTCAGACTGGAGAGAGGTAAATCCCTGTAAAGGGTTAAGAAGTTCACCTAGCCTAGCTGACACCTGACCAGAGGAACCAATGGGAGGACAAGATGGTTCAAAGGGAAGGAGGGAAATTCCCTTTGTCTGTTGAGTTTTCACTTTGGACCTGAATGGGAAAACTCCAGAATTCAGCCTCTTATCAAGTAGTGAGTATTAGTGAAGGAAATAAATAGGTTTATATTTATTTCTTTGTAACCCGTCTTGTGCAATTAGAGGAATAGTCAAATTGCGTATTTTGGGTATTTTTTTGTGTAACTAAGGGTTTGCCCAGGGGAACATCCTCTGTGTTTGGAATCTGTTGTCTGTGAGAGTAGCTGGTATGCTAATCTCTCCCAGAGGGTTTTCTTTTACCTTTCTTTTCTTTAATTAAAAGCCTTTTTGTAATAACCTGATTGATCTTTCCTTGTTTTTAGATCCAAGGGGGTTGGATCTGGGTCCACCTGGAGTTGGTGGGAGGAAGGAGGGGGGATGGTTAATTTAGGGTTACCATATTTCAACAAGCAAAAAAAGAGGACGGGAGAAGCCCC